GTGAGTGAGTGTGTGTGTGATTGAGGGAGCGTGGGCGCGCTTGAATGTCGGAACTCACTCTTCTCTTCCTTCTTCCTCTTTTCACCCTTCTGTTTATGGCTCTTTCCCTTTGCTGCACGGGGCGCCATCCCTGCTACAGCTTGAGCTTGCTGGAGCTGTTTATGGCCCTTCTTTCTTCTCTAGCTGTGGATGACGGCTTCGTCTTTTCGTCTTACGGAATGAACCTCCTGCACCTGGGTCGTTGACGATTCGTCTCCTCTCAGTCGAAGCTGGACTCAATCAGACGTTCAATCACCCCCTCAGAAATGGCAAATTCTTCATCCCCCCCATTCACCTCCCTCTCTCTCTCTCTCTCTCTCTCTCTCTCTCTCTCTCTCTCTCTCTCTCTCTCTCTCTCTCTCTCGCTCGCTCGCTCGCTCGCTCGCTCTCTCGCTCGCTCTGTGTGTGTGTGTGTGTGTGTGTGTGCGTCTTTAGTTGCGCGCGCGCGCGCGCGCGTGTGGGACAGCTGCTATCAGATCAGAGAAGGAAAAACAACAACAGACGATGCGGAACGGCGGACACATGCGGCAAACTTCAAGCCGCATCATCTGCACAGAGAATAGGCCTATCTATGGCTCGGCGCGCAGTGCTTGAGGATAGTAATCCTACTTCCCTCCTTGCTGCCCCACCTCCTCCTCCTCCTCCTCCTCCTCAAATCCCTGCTCAAGCCGACCGACATCTAACTGTCGGTCTCTCTCTCTCTCTCTCTCTCTCTCTCTCTCTCTGTGTGTGTGTGTGTGACTGCAGCAAATGCGAGAGTCTGCTACATGAACTGTCGAATCTTTCCCTGCTGGGATGCGCACATGACTATGTTGCGCGCCGAGCCCCCACCCTCCTACCTCCTCCTCCTCCTCGCGGCCTCTTAGCAGCTTGCCCTACAACGCACATTCATTTCATGCACGTGATTTCAGCTCTGCATGTCCCATGCATGCCTGGTCCACGTCGCTGACGTTGTCAGCTTCTCTCTCTGAACTTGGTGATCAGCATTCAATCCCATCCCTGTTGATGTCCACAAAGACAAAATTTAATCCATTACTAGTACACGCTACGCTCCCCTCTCTCAGTCTTCTCCTGTGAATCGAATCGTACAACTAGTCTCCCTCTGTCCTCTCCTCTCCTCTCTTCCCATTTCCCCCTCCTCCTCCTTTCCTCCATCACCATCCTCCTCCTCCTCATCATACTCCGAGCTGTCAGCCCAGCCAACGAATGAATGGACTCTAATCTCTTCCTCGGCCGGGTTGACGGCCGTCCAACTGGCGATTCAACTTCCCCGCTCCTCCGCAGAAGGCCTCTGCCCCAGTGCAGCCCACAGACCTTTCCTTCCTCCCCTTGAATCACCTACTACTACTACTACTACTACTCCTATTCCTCTATCACCAACAAACCACCACACCCACTGTTTCTCCACAAGGAGCCTAGCAGTCTATTCCTCTGGACCTTACGCAGCTCTCTCTCTCTCTCTCTCTCTCTCTCTCTCTCTCTCTCTCTCTCTCTCTCTCTCTCTGTGCGTCTGTCTCTGTGTCTGTGTGTGTGTGGGGGGGGGGGGGGGGGGGGGGCACGCCCCCGGCCCCCGGGGGGGGGGGGGGGGGGGGGGGTGGGCGCGGGTGGCCTGGGGTGGGGGGGGGGGGGGGGGGGGGGGGGGGGGGGGGGGAGGACTCGAGCACTCACGGCTGGCCCCAAACCAGCCAGCCAGCAGGCCAGCGTGCCAGCCTGCTGGCGTGCGGGCCCTCTAGTCGACCACGACCCCGTTGCTTCAGCCGACGAAATCCCTGCCTGACCCGAACATCCCCCACCCCAGCCCCCCGCGGCAGGATGTGGGACAACGCAGCCCCTGGCAAACTGTTAGACGTTATCGCTAACCCTCTGGCCCCGATTTCCTGCCTGTTTGTTATTCGCTGGCCGCCGGCATCTCCGCTCTCTGACGATGACACAAGTTAGTTCCCCACTTTCTCACCTACCCACTCTCACCTCTCTGGTTTCCACCGCCTACCGTTCCGGCCTCTTCCCATTCCTCTCTCTCTCTCTCTCTCTCTCTCTCTCTCTCTCTCTCTCTCTCTCTCTTTTTGTGTGTGTGTGTGTGCGTGCATGTGGCTTGGAGTTGCGGGCCCCCCTTGCAACAACGATCACCATCCGCACCCTCCAACGCACCAGGCAACTTCCAACTCACCGGCTCCTCAGCCACTGCCTCTTTCCTTCCGGTTGTTACGTTATCGGTAAGGTAAGGCCGGTTACTCTCTCTCTCTCTCTCTCTTCCAGTGCAGCTGGAGCTAGCTGGAATCCTAATCTCGTGCAGCAGCCCGCGGATTCCAGAGCCGCGGAGAAGCAGAGCCAACCACTAAAATACGTACAGGGCCGCCTCCGGCCGCCGGTAGCGAACCCGAAGTGCGTGCGGCATGGCCATCACTGGCCATAGGGCCTCGCTCCGCTACACAACACTCTACATGCATGTGGACGCTCTCCGGACCAGGTTCGTTCGAACAAATCCACCATTTTGTATGCATCTAGTCAGCCACGTCGTCCAATTGCATGTAGAGCGAGTTGTTGTATGTAGTGGAGCGAGGCCATTAGTCTGGTCGACAATTGGAACCCACGATCTGCGGCAGGCAATCCGCATTGGGCGACCCCTCATGGTCACCCTCGCCTGTCCCCGCTTGCGGGGGCTCCGTGCGACACGCAGCCCCATGCTTCCGCTTCTCCGCCGACACGCAGCCCCATGCTTCCGCTTCTCCGCCGACACTCATCAGTTCCATGAGCGTCCGCCTCTCGACCGCGCCCAGCCCGCAAGCGAACTGTCATAGCAGACCCCGCCCATGTGGCTGAATGGCGCACACATGTGACTGTGAGGAAACCGGTCCTGAGCTCGATTCCAGATTGGGCAAAAAAAAAAAAAAAAAAAAAAAAAAAAAGATTGCGAAGTTCAGACACATTCAATGCTGCTCTTGTCTATCCCCTTTGCTTTGAGGCAGACAAAAAAAGAAAATAGTAGCAAGAAAAAGGAAAAAGAAAAGAATATTAAAAGAGAAAAAAAAGAAAAAACGAAAATTAGAGAAAAGAAAATGAAGTGTTATCGGCACAAAACTAATGGTCCCTTTCCTGCCGCCTTGGGTATGCGCGCCACTCACTCACCAAATGTGCAAAATGAGAATGGAATGAATATTCCGCTTGAATGTGCAAATATTCATCCCCCATATTTCTTTCAAATTTTCCCATTGGCTGTCAGTGAGTGTTTCAGGTAATCTTCCTATCGCGGGCTGCACGTAGCGGATCGCGGAAACCAGCAATCCGTGGGCGGCATGCATGGCGCAGGTTACGCTCTTTCTGCGACATGTGCGATATGTGTGCGGCATGCGCAAGTCCTATCCTGGGAACTGTAGGCACGTCCTGAGAGAGCGTCGGTCTGCGCGACGGCGGCGCGACGTGCAAGCGGAAACGCAGAGTCGGCGGGACACGGAAGCAGATAGCCGCTGTCGTGTCCTCCGCTTCCGCGACACGCCAGCGCTCCGCAAAAAAAACCTCCAAAAAAACTCCGGCTGGTGTCTTTTTTTTGGTTTTTGCTTTTGCTACAGAAACAACGACCCCTTGAGAGATTGTGCCTAGCTGCAAATTATATGTATATATATATATATATATATATAGGGCCTGTCCGTGCAGCGAGCAAACGAACAAAAATGGCGGATGTATACTCCCGAAGAAGCTGGATAGGTGCGCTCGTCAACTTTCTGTCTTTTTCATTTCACAGGGGTGAGCGTTGCAGCAGGCCGACGTATATATACACAGGTGGCCAAAAATGTACCCAGATCTTCGCCTGAGGTAACGGCAGGATGAAGCTGTACAGCTGATAGGGCCAGCTCGAGTCAGCTCGCTACCCTAGAAAAAGGGAAAAAAGGAGTCAGGAAAAAAAAACATTTGGTCCCCTACCTCTAGACCTGCCGCCAAACCCACCATGAAGGGAGCCCGCTGTGGTCTCGTCTCATCCAGACAGTGGAGAGGCGCGGTGGCCGGAGATGGGCTGAGCGAGGTATGGGAGAGGGGGCAGGCGGTAGTTGAAATTGAAGGGGTGAGTGAGACCCCGGCGGCGGAGGAAGGGTTGTCTGTCTGGCTACCCGCCTCACAGCCGCCGACGGACGGTCGACTTTCCCTTGAGAACTCCGAGAAGAAAGATATAAAAGTTTCATCCAAGCCCCTGTCTTTCTCGCGTCCTCTTCATTTGACCTTGCCTCCACAGACGGCGCCGAAGATACGTACGGTCCTTATACCGTCCTAAACTCCGAAACTAATGCTTGTGCTCCACATGCTTAGTGTGTCCCTCCACTACTGCTCCACTACACAAAAGTTTGTATAGAATTTGTACAGTTGTTAGACTATACAAAATGGGGGATGAGGTTGGGGGGCCAACCGTTCGCAGCCCTAAACAGCGCTCGGTTCCGCCGCCACCGGTCTAGCCGCCTTCGAGCAGCTGTCGAGGTTGACGAGAGGGTTTACAAGTTGCACGTGGTATCAGCCATGTCTGACCTTGCGGCGACTGTTGGCTAGCCCACAGACACCGCCATAGACTTAGGGGCTCGTTAGACACTCCTCGGGCGCGTAAATCCCCCGAGGAAACGATTCCCAAAAATGCAATGTGAAAACATTTCCTCGGGCTATCCTCGGGGCGTCCTCGGGCTACAGGCAATCGCCGACGACCCCCAAGGTTACTCACGAGGTCCCTTGGAGGCCGAGCATCAGCGATAATCGGGACGGCGGCGGCATCCTTCGACGACGACATTTTTTTGGAGGGTGGTCCAATGCAGTACCTGCTGGTCAGTCCACGAACATGTCCGGTCGCCAACGTTCGCCTTCGATGGAATTGACGGCAACGGTAACCGTTGGGGACGGCCGGCCCCTGCGAATGCCGAAAGGTGTTCGCAGTCCCTTGCGCTGGAGGGCGGCAAACGGAAAAGGGTCCAACGGTCGTTAAATTCAAATATTTCAGGCGGCAAGCATTCCAGCCACCCACGACAGTCTGCAATGTAACTCGGCAGAGGGCGTTTTCTTGTCGGATGCTGTCGCCTGCTGTTTGCTGCCGTCTGCTTCGCCGTTTGCTGGAGGCGCGCTGTTGTCAATTGTTTCCTGCCCGTACGCACATGTAGTTCATGGCGGACATCTTCCGAAGGTTGCCGCTGCTTGTCCTGGTCGTCATTTTGCTTCTCCTTGTCGTCGTATTCCACATGTGCATCCTGGGTCGGGTGCCTGGTCGCACACGCAAGTGACAATCGGCGAAGAAGCACATCACCATGGACGGACGGCAGGCGAATCACAGAACGTCGTTGGAACAACACGCTAACCACCGCCCCAGCCACGACAGTACTCGCGATACAAGGCCGCACGACCCGTCAGCCTACGCGCACCTCCCACCGCACTAGCAACCTCTACCCGACTCGTCAGATGGGGAGGGGGACGAAGGTGGGTCACGTACAGTCCCGCTGGGTAGCAGGTCCACCCAGGAGTGGGCAGGCAGCCAGTCGTCTGGTCGGCGTGCTAGCAGATACAGGCTGCAGTCGTACACTGAACTCCTGGAGGAAGGCCTCCGCGGAGACAACGTTGATGGCGCCGGGAATTTGTCATTCGGGCTAGGTAGCGGGAGCTCTACGGCCGCCACACGGATAGTCCTCGTCAACCATCACCCTGACGACGACGCAGGGCAGGTGACATTGGTCGGCCGATCTGTGAAGGACGCGTCCGTCGGATGGGAGGGATCGGATAACAGGAGGGAACGAACGAGAGTGCAATCGTCAACGACATTAGTGTCACGTGCTGGCGTCGCCCGTCCGCAGTGGATGCGGTCCTCGTCTCCATTGTGGGGAGGTTGTGTTGGGGGGCGTTGTGCATCTGAGTGCGGGCCGACGGACGAGGACTTCGCATGCGGGGGTGCCGAAGCAGATGGGAGGCGCGTGTGGAAGGAATAAAAGCAGGAGATGCGTTGACGGCAAGAGGAGTCGATAACCGAGGGGGTGCAGCGTTTGTGCGTGGGGGAGCGGGACGTGAAGGCAGACGGGGCAGTCGGGGGAGGCGACGACTACAACGACGGCGACGAAGGTGAGTGCGAAGCACAGGACGACGAGTCGGGGGACGTGTTTCCGTTGCGGACGGCAAGCATGGGCGGTCCGACCAGTAACAACAGGGCTTCCACATCGACAGCCAGGTGTGGAAGCGAAGCGGGACCAGGATGCGCAATTGCAGATGGCGGGCCACGCGTTCGCTCGTATGAAGAGGAGGGAATGGAAGTGAGCGTGAGAGGTTGTGGAAAGTCGGCGTGGATAGGCCGGCAGACAAATGCAGGAAGAAGTGGCACAGGGATAATTTGATGCAACAGTTCAAGAAGGTGCATTGCTTCCAGGGCGAGTCTGGGAAGGAGGACTTCTTCCAGCTGTCGGCGAAGGAGAGGCTGGCGAGGGGGTTCAATTTCAACATGGATTGGGCCGTCTACGAAGAGATCAAGCGATCGACTGCAAGGAGTCATACAATACACCCGCAGAATGTCGCAGGCACCAGCCGAGCAGGAGGTGTGCAACTTCCATCCGGGTCTTTTGGCGGTCCAGAATCTGTGGGCGATGGGGATGCGGGTGGCGATGGCAACGACGAAGACGACAACTCGACGAGGGGTTGTTCGCAGACCACGGGAAGCCCTGGCGGTGCACGGAAAAGGAAGAACATGAGGCAGAAGACTTTCGAAGCCCTCACCGAGTGTACGGAGAAGCACGAGACGTTAATGGCGTCGACCATGGAGAGCACTAGCAAGAGGCAGTGCTCCATCCAAGTTCGGCAGGGCAAAGCTATGGAAGCGGAGCTGGAGGTGTAGAAGAAACACTATGCGGCATCGGATGAAGTGAGCAAGATGATGTGCCACGCGCTGATGGAGATAGCGAAGGCCATACGAGATCGGTAGACGTCGTGGTCGAGAAGAGACTGCCCAGGCGCAGGCGTCGACGTTTGTCCCGTGTTCCGGGCGGCATGCCAGGAATGCTGAGTTGCCCCTCCGTAGTTCGTCGTCTATGCTAGCTTTGTGCCCGGTTACGGGTTGAAAACGACCGACATTCGCCCTGTGCCAGATGTTTGCATAGCTGGGTGGGCGTTTTGGATGGGTTGTGTGTTCCTTTCGTTCAGAGCATCGCCGAAGGCAAATGATGGCCTTGTTCGTTTTAAAAATAATTTTTGTTTTTGGTAAATTTTCCGGCTTTCGTGGTGTTCCGTCGTCATATGATGACGGTGAGACGATCTCACGTCCTGTATCAGCAGGCTTCGTAGTTCATGGCTGACCGTTGTT